GGTCCAGGTCCAGGAGAAGTGCAGAGACGAAGACTTCAACAAGTTGAGATGGAATAAAGAGGAGAAGCTGAAGCTCAGGCTCTCACACAAAGTTTCACTGAGACCGGTGCAGCGATTGGCTGTCAGCTCGGTGACGTCACTCTGAGAGGAGCCTCCCGATTGGAGGAGCGGCTGCGGGACGAGGAGGTCCCAGTAGTTTTTTTTGTTTTTTTTTACACCGAATGGAATTAAACACAAACTAAGTTCCATTAAATTACCGTATTATAACTGTTAAAAGGTCATTTGAATATTTGATGACTTCTGCACAGGTGACGTCAGGATTTGATTGCGTCATTATGATGTCGTTATTTCGTTTTGGAGCCGAGGTCAGAGAGAAGAGCTGTCCTCAAACACAGAGGAAATTATATTTACAAACGAATCACACGTCATTATCTCCAATTATATAAATACATATAATTATATTTATTTAAATATAAACGGTTCAAATTACAGCGGAAATAAAACAAACACGACGTTCAAATAACGAACCTATCGATATAAAACAATTATTTTTGAAAAATAAAAAAATATATATGTTTTTTTAAAAATCAATCGTTTTTTATTTGTATATGTACTTAAATGTATTATATTAAATATATTAAAGTATTATTTTTACACATTAAAATATTTTTAATATTTTTTTAAGTATGACGTGTATTTCAGAATCTCAAGTATTTGTGTAGAAATCAGAAATAAAAAACTAAGAAACAGGTTTAAAAACAAAGGCCTCGATAATGAAGATATGACGTTGATGAGCTGTTGTGCCAACAGGGGGCGAAACACAAACACACACACACAGAGACCAATTATAATGACTGATATAATGACTATAATGAGTAATAAAGTAGAAGAACATTTTCTTATATCCGGAGTCACGTGATTTAAATACGAATTAATTACTCATTATATTTACAGTTTTTCTTTAAATATTTAAATCTTTAAACGGTTTAAATCCATTAAGTCAAATTAGGACAAACGAACAAGAGGAAGAAACAGAAGAAAGGAGGAGGAGGTTAAAAGAAAAACTAAAACAACAGAGAGGAGGAGGAAGAGGAGGAGGAGGTGAAGAAGACCTTTCCACCTCTGCCGGTTAAACGGACAAATGAGGAAAGAGCGACACCTGTCTGCAGTCGTTTACGTAAAAAACAAAACAGATAAAAAGTCAGTAATGTTCAATCGACAGTTACTGTGACTGCGGTCATTGAGGTAACTCACAGCGATGTTACTGCGCCCCCGTGTGGTGACTTGAACAACCAACCCTAAAAACTGACAGGTCGTTTTTATATTGAGTTCGTAAAAAAAAAATTAACAAAAAAATACTTCTGTTCTGCCGCTGAAATAGACAGTGCCGATGACGAATCAGTGAAAGGTAATTATTTACGTCATCTCCGTTTGGGCAACCGTAACAACAGCGAGGAGATATGTTTCAGTGCTAGCCTCACTGTGATTGGTTTAAATTCACTAAGTGGAGAAATACATGAGACCAGTTTATACACATACACATATACATATACTATATATATATATATACATATACACACACACACATATATATGTGTGTACTTTATTGATCCAAAAGGGAAATTAATATACTGTATATACAAATATAAATCTATACAAAACGAAAGCTCTTCTTGATTTAATTTGGACTATTTTAATAGAAAGTGAAACAGTCAGCCTCATAAGTTGTGGTCTTCAAAGGGTGACGCAGGACGCCACAAGAGGGCGCCAACCCACTTCAAAAACTCCACAAGTTGAATTAGTTGCAGCAGGGCCATGATTGTCAACTGTTAAGAACGAACAGAGGGCTCTGCTCCACATGTTTGACATCCACATTTCTCAGTTTTATTTTGTTAAATCTCAACATTAAATAAAAAACCCAAACTTCTGTCGTTGATGTGAAGAGCCACGACATCAGACGTCAACAACCATTAGTTCCTGTATTTAGAAAAGTATGATGTTTCTTTAGGAGCAGTAATCTCCTGTCAGTGTAGTACTTATTTCAACCACACGTTGTCTGCTGACCTGAGGTCTGTGTACGGACGAGTTACGATTGGTCGACGGTGTGTGTAAGTCACGACTCCTCGCTCCTCATCAGAGTTGAACATTTTAATTTTAGATCCTAGCTTCAAAGATACTCATGACATCACGGAGACATTTTCAACAACAGACGAGAACAGGACACAGATGATCGTGACGTTTCATTTTATTGGTTTTATTTACTCTCGTGCCAGCAGCTTCTGCTTCTTCAGCTTCTTCTGTGAAACCTGAGGAAACGAGAGCAAAGTAAATTCAACAACAGACGAGAACAGGACACAGATGATCGTGACGTTTCATTTTATTAGTTTTATTTACTCTCGTGCCAGCAGCTTCTGCTTCTTCAGCTTCTTCTGTGAAACCTGAGGAAACGAAAGAAAAGTAAAAACATTAGATGCCGATCCAAGAGGTCATAGAAATGACAGGTCAGAGGTCAAAGGTCAGGCTGCTCAGATTTAAAACAGTTTGTTTTCATGGGTAATCCAAAGGTGTCCTAAGAAGTCATCAGTGCAGCCACAGTGGGGCAGTGGTGAGCTCACAGCCACAGTGGGGCAGTGGTGAGCTTCACCAGGTGTTAAAGGTGAAGTGGGCCGTACCTTTTTCTTCTGGGCGACCTCCTCCTCTGGTTTGGGGACGATCTGCTCCTTCTCCGTCAGGATCATCTCGATGTGGCACGGGGAGCTCATGTAAGGGTTGATGCGACCGTGGGCGCGGTACGTGCGTCGCCTCATCTTTGGCGCCTTGTTGACCTGGATGTGCTCGATGACCAGAGAGTCAACGTCCAGACCCTGAGAGTTTGGGGGATGGAGGGGGAGAAGAGGTGAGGATCAGTTGTCAACAGGACTAAAAAAAAAAAAAAATAACAGGCTAATGAATCGGTGGGACTTGTTTGGACCAATCAGATTGTGTTTTTATTCTGCCTTGTCAAGTGTTAATCTGACTGAACACCAACACTGTTCATACTCTGGTCGACATTTGACATTTGAACGGATTTGGATTCAAACAAACGAAGAAGAGTCTCAGACTCAGTGATGAAGAGTCTCAGACTCAGTGACTGCTCAGCTTTATTCAGATGTTTTCATGGTTCATCCAAAGGTGTCCTAAGTGGTCATCATCACAGTCACTGACATCAACTCTGAGAATTTAACAGACAAACTAGTGCTTGATTAAAAGCCAGGGGGCGCTTTCTGATCTGAGTTACGACAGAACCACACACTACGTTTGCGTCTCAGACCAGGAGGAAACTCTTTAGTTCAACTCCTCAGTGTTCAGTTTCTCAGCCTGTGCCGACAGAACAAACGGATCGACTGGAGAAACACACAGAACAACATCAACACAAACTAAGATCAGCTGTTTGCTGTGAAGCCACTGAACTCCAATGAAACGGTTAAAAAAAGAAAGAAAAGGGAAATTCCTTCAAGTCCCTGATTTTGTAAATATGCGTTCGTGGCAGGTCGACTGTTCTGGTCTGACGTTGATTACCTACTGATAACACTTCATTGTATTAAACGCAGCAGCCTTTAACGTACCTTCAGCTCAGCGTTGCTCTCGGCGTTCTTGAGCATGTGCAGCAGGAACTCGGCGCTCTTCTTAGGCCAGCGACCCTGAGTCCAGCCGAACTGTTTGGCCTGAGCGAGAAAGACAACAAGGGGTTAATAAAATGTCCCGCTGACGACGACCGCTGACCAGAACGGCAGCGGTCGCTCAGATTTAGTGGTTAGTTTCATCCTGAATCCAAAGGTGTCCTAAGAAGGTCATCACGGCGACTCAGACCACAGACGGCTGCGTCTCACACCAGGCCTCACCTGTGCACAGCGACCGACGCCGCCGTTGTAGCGACGGAACGGAACACACTGGTGTTTGACCACAACGTCCCTCAGGTACTTGTTGGCTTTGCGGATGTGCATTCCCTTGATGGCCTGGGCTGTCTCACGGGTGTTCTGGTGGGGACACAGGTCAGGGGTCAAGTTCAGTAAACGCAGGAAAAAACAAAAACATTTGATACAAGTCACTGTACGATCTACCAGATTAAAAACAATTAAACCACTACCTCAAATTGTATTTTATAAGACTGTAAAAATACTGATACAGTAATATATTAGGGGTTTGTTTTCTTTTTATTTTCTTTCTTCTCTAGTGATTCCAAATGTAGATCCCTCTGTTCCAGTGTTAGGAACTGATGTTCAGATGGAACAGAGTCTGAGACTAGGATCACACTGGGACTGGTTACACAGGGGGGAAAGAAATCCTCAAAATATCACTGCGCCTATAATATCACAATATATCATGTTATTGACCCTGCATCGTGATACATCTCGTATCACCACACACACAGTCCATTTACATCAGTGAAGACCTCCATGACAAACCGGGTCATGGAGCCACTTCAATGCTCTCGCAGTTTGGACAAAATTAATCACAATGAAGGAAAGAACACGCTAAGACAGATGGACATATGTTGGTACTGGTCCTGATGGAACCAGTACCAAATCTTTCTCCAGATCCTACAGGAATCATCAGTCACCCAACCACTCAACCACCATCATCACCTAATTCTATCTGTAAAATACAAAAAGAAGTTTATTCTTTAGCTTAAATAAGTGATAGAGACACTGTTGGGATTTTCAGGACAATATTTACTGACATTTGTCTCAGTTGAACTTCAGGAGATCAACTGTGGCCCAGGACTAGTGTTTAATTCTAGTAAGTTCAAGTCAACCAGCAACTACAGTTGTGGTAATTATAATTAAACATCACAGGTGACAGATAAAACAATCATCGATCTCTTACATCTTAAAGTTAACTCAGCTGGAAACTTACCTTAAAGTGAACCCGGAGGTTGGAGCCCCGCGCCTTACAGGCTGAAAAATAATGAAACATATTTTAACATCTAACTCTAATCCAGAGACGGTGGCTGGATGACAGAATGTGTTGGCTCAGTTTTGATTGGTGTTTTCATCTTTAATCCAAAGGTGTCCTAAGATGTCATCACTGCCACCTGGCTACACCCAGGGTGTTATTACAGTACGTTATTTAGAGAAATACAAAAGAATAAGATTAACTCACACTTAGTCGGGTTCTCGGGGTCGAGAGAGTAGCGGACCATTTTGAGAAAGTCTGCGAACAAAATACAGATTCACGTTTCATTGAAGCTGTTAGCAGTTAGCACTAGCACTCATATACAGTATACACGAGTCTCTAAATAAACATAAGAAAGCTGTTCCACACATAAGAACAACTTACAATGGGTAACGACACTGAAATGACGGTTCAATATTAATGTAAAAAATACAATATTTCAACTGTGAGAGTTTAACAGAAGTCAACATGGCGGACAATCACTGAACCGGCTGAGTCAAAAAATGTTGCCCATATTTACTCTAGAAACAGCCCTACAACCACAATTTTAACACCAACAGGGGCTTAATTATGTTGTAGCCTAAAAACAACGGTTTGGAAAACACGATGATATCAATTTAACAGAGATTGAAGACGGATTTTATCTTCCTCTGTCGAGTGTTGCTCCTTACCTCTGAGGCCGCGGAAGGAAGAGGAAGTATTTCGGCCTGCGCTCTTTTCTTCTGCTGAATGGAGGACGAGCGCCACCCGGCGATCAGGAGGCCAAACAGTCCCACTCCCGCAGGCGTTTACTTGTATTGTTTTTGTACGTTGTTGATACACGGTACTTGTACAAGTACTTAGAGCCAAGTACTTAAATAACATACTATATATTTAGTCTAACAATTAAAAAAATATAAAACACATATTCACATAATGTTACTTTTTTCAAAATTATGATTGTTCTAATAACATGTAATTCTGTTGGGTGACTTTGTCTACATTTAAATTTTTATTGTCATTACCTGTTATTGCTTTTACGCTATATTTGGCTTTGCAATTTTTTTAATTTTGAGGTCTCTGTTTTATTAAATGCTACTTTGCTACTGCTGCTATTTTTATGAGACTAAAAAGAAGAAGAAAGTTGGACATAAACGATCTCTGCATTAATTTCTGCTCTTTCTTTTGCTCTAAACATTTACTGGTAATTTATGTGAAATATTCACATTTTCATAATTAACCATTATCCCAATAATCAAGTTAATTTATTAATGATCTTTGTTAGTCTTGATGTATAAAACATTACATCTTATGTCCAATCATGACTCGACACACTGTTTTAAAAATGTTAGATTGGAATAAAAAAAGAAATCAGACTGAGACGTTGTTAAAGCCTGTGGTTGATTGATTTATTTTTGGTGTTTCTTGCTGAAAACCTGCTACATCACTGTAAAAAAAGACTGTGTGCACAGCAACATCACACTGTAAATAATGTGGGACATAGAAAAATAAAGATATTATTTACATCAGTTCAACAGTGGAGACCAGATAGAAAAGAATCTGTGAGCAGAATCATGGAACCACAGATACTGATGTTTCAACTCGTCCCACATGAGCTCCAACATCCGTGGCATTGAATGACAAGAGATCGTCTGCAGCTCAACTGACCAGCAGGGGGCGAAAGAGTCTGACTCCTGAAGAGGCCGCTCACAGATAAAACACAGAAGAGTTTAGGTTTTCACATTCTTCGAAATCAAACGGACCATTTCTCTTTTTCAGTAACTTTTTTTTTTCATATTTTCCAAGTTCATAAATAACTCTGGTTCAGTTCAGTTCAGTTCAGTTCAGTTCAGTTCAGTGGTTTGATTAGTTAAACCCCAGAAACCTGTTTGAACGTCTGACCAACGGACGACGGAAGAAACGTTTTCTCTCAGAGTGAGCAGTGAAGAAATGAATAAATACAGTCGGTGATAAACCTCTGGAGAGCAGTCTGTTGGTGTTCATCACGACTGGACAGCAGGTCCATGTTAAACCTGATGTTTGCCTTCGTCACCAGCTCCTCCTCCTCCTCCTCCTCCTCCTCAATAACCCACCAGGTCAGGAGGTAAAGTTTTCAGTTTGTCATGTGACCAAAGACGCCGCTGGTCCTGTCGTCCTCCTGGTCGTCCACAGTCACAGACGAGCTCAGTGTCCTGGTGTGTGTGTGTGTGTGTGTTGAACTTCCTGTCACCCTGTAACACAACAACATGACAAAGATAAATGTTGTGGAGTCGTTTCTCAGTCTGTTATTTTTTTTATTTTTTTTTTGTCTAATGAGAAAATAAAAGCCCATAAATAATTTTTTTGTCTGATGAGAAAATAAAAGCCCATAAATGGTTTGGAGGTGAGAACCTGCTGCTGCTGCTGTCGGCCAATCAAACACCAGCAGAGAAAAACCTCCTCACTGAGTCGATCAGTCCACATGACCGTGTGTCCCTGGATGATGGACCGCTCTTATGTTGTCGTTGTGATTCTGTACCGTGGACACGGAGACGCCGACCTTTCAGGTCTGAGTCTGGGAGGCGGTGGGGCAGGTGGGCAGAGGTCGGAGGTCGGAGGTCAGGTGACGTGAAGGCAGGTGAGGTCACTTCAGACAGGGGCTGACCACGGTGGGAGTCGGGGGGTAAACCAGAGCCACGTGGACCCGCTCCGAGCCGTTCTTTGGACAGATGATCTCAGTCAGACCTTCAGGACGAGGCTGAGTCAGCAGTTCACCTGGAACACAAGCAGTCAGCGGTGAGACTACACTGAAGTACTGCAGTAATACTCAGAGTATGTGTCCTAGTGCAGTACTTGGTGTTGAAGTAGAAGAACCAGAAGAAAAAGATCAGAGTTAAACCTCCCAACAGTCATGGAAGAAGTCAGAGCTGAATCAGAGTCAGAGTCAAGTCTGTGAATCAGGTCGAGTCGTTCAAGTCACTGAAGGTTCAAGTCACTGAAGGTTCAAGTCACCGAGGGTTCAAGTCACTGAGGGTTCAAGTCACTGAAGGTTCAAGTCACCGAGGGTTCAAGTCACTGAAGGTTCAAGTCCGAGTCTGAGTCACAAAAAAAAGTAAGAGCCGGACCATTACAGTTGGACGGTTTGATTCCTGAGTCCATGTGACATAAGAACATTTAAAGACCTAGTCCAGGTCAAAGTCCAGTCACAGAGTCCAGGTCCGAGTCATGTATCCAGTGTTTCGAGTCCATGCAGTTCGAGTCAGAGGTTCGAGTCCAGTCGAGTCCACAGTGTTTGAAGTCACAGTTTCTATAAAAACATTTCAGTCTTGTCACCAGAGTCACAGAGGGAACCTGGTAAATGTTCTAGAACAAGTTCTAGTTTTTGAAGGAACATCTAAAACAGGGCCTGAAGTTAACGTCTGCTGAGGAAGTGAAACCATCATCTGTTCGATTCATCCACGAGGGGGCAGCATTGCCCCTCAGTGAGGTTTCCTCAGTAGTCGGTCCATAATCCCTGATCAACAGATGAAATTCATTTACACGATGTTGATGTTTTCATCAATAATCTGAGAGATTACGGGTCAGATTATCAGATTATCAGATTACCAGGGACCTGGGGTTGTGTCTAAGTCTACAGTGTGTGTCCTGAAGTAGGTCAGGGTCTGAGTCTGGCTCCTCCCCCCTCATCACCCCCCCCTCCAGAAGGGGAGGAATCACCC